GTAGAGGTTCACGTGTGTCGAAAGTTTTTAGGGACAGACAGCAGTGTGGCCTTGTCATGGATAAGATGCAACAAAGATCTCCCAATTTTCTTTAAAAATCGTGTTAAGGTCATCCTGAAAAACACGGTTGACGTCAATGTGAGGCACATTCCTGGAAACCTCAACCCTGCAGACAGCGACAGCCGCGGTGCTAAAGCCAAGAACACCTTCAGTCGACATCCTGTTGGAAACAAGAATCGGCTATTTACTGCTCCCACTAGGGAGACAACCGCAGTGGAACCCTCAAGGTTCAGTTCGTGGAAAAAGATGGTCAACGTTCAACTTTTCATAACTGAAAATGTGGCAGTGCCAGAAAATATTTTGACATCTTCAAGACCACTCATATTGGAAAGCAGAAATTATACTGTTTCGGCTTGCACAGGCAGCAAGCAAGGCCTCCTTTCGAAGAACACACGAAGCAGCTGAAACTATTTCTATGTCCTGCAACGTCTATTTGGAAAAGTAAGGGAAGGATCAATAATCAATAGCTAATCTGAATGGATACACAACTTGTCTCGACGGTTAGGTGGTAGAATGCTCGATAGGATATTTATTTCAATATTTTTTGGGTCAACAAGTCATAACTACAATTCGTGCCATTACAAAGACAACTAGTCTGAAGATTGTGCAACCTTGTTCGTCTTGTTTTCGAATTGCTGGTGGTGGGTCCGACAGACGGCAAGTTGGAGCGCTCAGCTCATTTCCTTCGAATTGTTGTACCGTACCGCTCTTGTTCATTGTTCATTGGAAACGACTGTTTGTCGTTCTCGCTATTGGGTTGTTGGAGAGCGGAGGGTAAGGAAGTTGGAGTTGAGGGCAGTGCCGTTCACGACGCTGCCCGATTTGGAACTGCCGAGCTGTGGAGTTGCCGAACTGTCAGGAACTGCTTGAGAGAGCCGCCGGGAGCAGAGCCGAGAGCTCCGAGCCCGAGAGCTGTCAAGAACTGGAAGTGACAAGAATTGCCGGACTGCCACAAACCGGGCCTTTTATACCCAAAAAA